CATTATATCTTGGTAATATGCAGTAAAGGTTATGTGGATAAAGTGTTTTATATTTAATAGAGCTTGTTTTTTCTTTTTACATACATTATGACTAAATCTTTTAAATGTGTTACAAGAAATGATCAGTCAGCCTGCCATAGAAAAGAATGCAAGAAATATAGATTTCTAGCTATTCTTTCTGTTCATTGCAAAATTCTGAGATCACTCACTACAGATTATGAGATCACTCACTACATTCAAATTTCAGACTATTGAAGAACTGGAAAAGGAGATGCTGAATGGCCAGAAGCTACAGGGACCACAAACTGCTGAAGAAGTTAATTACATGTTGAAGAACAAGGGGATGGAAGATCGGTAAAAATCAATTTAATTAACTAATAATAAAATGTCAAGCCCTGCTTGCTTCAGAACTGTCATAGAGTCCTTGGACGTTGATGTATATTATTATTATTGAATATGATTAAGGGTTTTGTTGTCCTTGAGCCATCATATATTTAATTTTACTTGAAATATTGAGCATCTAGTCTAGCTTTGTTTTACAATTTTTTGTTAACGTGTTATGCATTTCTTGGGTGCCCCAGTATCGAAACTAATTTTCTTTATCTTTGTATTTGTCTATTGATACTAAGCAACTTTCTACAGGTTTCCACTTTTCACCTCCATACATCGCATTTGCAAGGGCGAGATCCCCCCAGCAGAAATGGTAAACTGCATCAGGAACCATCCAGAACACATGTAAGCCATTTTCTTACCTTTCTTTCATGTTTTTATATCAGTTGTGTAGTTTGTTTCGTGATATGCCTTTATTTTTATTGAATTACTTTTGGAAGTATTCCGATCTTTCAATTTTAAAATGCAGCAAGATGAAACGATAAGATTAGCATTTGGAGGGATGGTGTAAATGGGATTTAGTAATTCCACAAGACAATTGAATAATTAATGGTTTTTGATGTTGTATCTTCATCAGAATTATGTACTTGTGTAACCCTGATGAAGATATAGCACCAGAATGCATTAATTACATTTTTGCTACATTTGTCAGTGAACTCCATATAAGATTAGCAGTGATAAGGGTTACCTTTTTATATATATCAAACTTATGTTGACCTGTTTTGAGTTGGCAATATACAATATATAGAATAAAGAAATATTATGGTTTTGCTGCATTATGAGTAGTGTTTCTTGTTCCTGTGAACTGAGTTTCACTGGGGGCTGCCCATGTTTGCAACGGCTTTCCCTTTCTAGAAGTTGTACTTCAGTTGAACTTCTTTTAATGTAGACTTCATTTTTAAGTGTTTTTAAATTTAAGAATATGGCAGGTTGTATTTTCCATATGCATTTTTAAGAAAAAGAAAATAATTTCCACATTTTAAATATCATACTTTTCTCTTTATTGGTCCTGCAGTTAGTATGTTCTTTTACATGTGTGAACAAGTAGATTATCCCATGATTTAAAATCCAAAGTATCATTTAGGATTTGAATAATTCTCTATCTGATTTTGATATGTGTGTAATAAAAACAGATGTTCTTTGTGATATAGAACACTTCCATGTCATTCACCCCATACATCACAGACATAATACACACACTTAGAGATTTCACAGGACACCATTTTCAACAGACACAAAAAAACACTGATACTGCTCTACTGGTTTCACTAATGTTTGAACCACTATTACACAAACTGTGGGACATACAAAATCACATACAGAATGGCCAGTAGTGCCTCATGAACAAGAATAGTCCACTTGTACATGATAACTCCATAAAACAAACCATCATATTAGAGGTAGGCAGTTCATAGCCAGTACAGTACATAACATATTACAGCCACCATCTGTCTGCACATATGCCTGTACTGTGCTGTTTAGTAGAGACATCACTATGATGTTAAACAACTTATTGAATATTGCATTTCCATCTACACTCATATACAAGCACTTCACCAAATAGGACTTGTCACACACAAGCCCAAACCAAATACAGCCCTCATATGCCGCACACATGCAGAACTACCTATAGCAGAAAGAATATACTGTTATGAACATAACCCATCACTCTACACATAGGCAACATACATGCACAGACACCTGCCCAAACTGCTAGGCTCCCCTCACTATCACTCGCATCACTAAGGAGCCCATACAGTGAACAACACCCACTAGTGGAATCATAACAATAACTGTGAAGTGGCCAGGACCTCCAACAGTAACATTGTTAGATAATTTGATATACCTAAACATTTTTTGATAACATTGAAATACTTGTGTGTCTACACAGGTAATGAAATGAAAAGCAAAAGTTACAATTTAGTATCTAATGGGTCCATTCATCAGTAGAAAATTAGAGATTTGAATCATTAAAATGTTCAGTTTTGTCCAGGTAAAAGTACACATACCAATTCATCCTCATGAGTTTCAAAATATTATAACATAGCCTCTTTTAATGTTAAGCATTAACTAGGAAATTCTATATCAGGCTGTAATGAAGAAGTAATTATTTATTCTTTTGAATAATTGTTACTCAGATGCAATAAATACTGCCAGTAAGCTAATAAGTATGCTACCAGATATGCACAAGAGATATTGTATGCCATCTCCAATGGTTCTTGCCAGTGTTGTCTCTTAGAAATTGTTGAAATGTTTTTCTAATAGAATGATGAATTTCAAGATAGTCTTGAAATGGAAATTAAATAGTTTTGATTTATTTATGTTCTGTTATTTTATTATATATGCTATATGTGATAACTACACTATTAAATCTTGTTATGTTCATGTATATTTAAATTAGGTATATACTGATTGTTAGAGTCTTTTGAAGTTTTAACTCTTTTTACCTATCATGAAAAGTAACCTTAGGTATTTAGAAATATAAAGATTTTTCTTACTTTCTAAAATCTTGCCTTGTAGTTACTAAACATATACATTACTTTTAGTCTAAGACTAGGTAGGATTTAGACCAATGGCCATTAATTTTGGATAGGGAAATGGTTGAATCTTGTTTTTCTGTCCTGTCTGCATGTTGCTTTGGCTTATAGATGGAATTGTCTTTATTTTCTTGATCTGTTGTTATTTTCAATGATTTTCTTTACTGTTTACTCGCAGAAGTTACTAATGATAAACAGTATTTATTGTTATACTCTTCTAAAACTGATTTACATTTTGCTAATAATCTTTTTGTTGTGGTTAAAAACACCACTGAAATAGATTTTTACACATGGAATTTATAAATTATCAGACATGGTTTTCTAGGTGTTTATAGACCATTCCTCTCATAGTTAGTAGGAATTATGGTAAACATTGAGATTTTGATGATAATGATATAAAATCTGTAATGAAATTCAAAGCATAGGAGAAGGGTGTGTTTCTTTAGTGGAATGGAGTTGGAAAAAAGCCCTGTGGTTTTCATGCACTTGGTATTCCTTGATTAAGAAATATTAGCCACAGTGATTTGACTGCATCGGCCATGCTTTCCAATAAAGTTACAGGTGGTTTTGCACAAATGTCTATCAAACAGCCACTGTTTTGTGTATTCTATCCTCTGAATATTCTCATGAATGAGTACCTGAAATTATGCTTGTGTAGAAAGTATTTTAGTGGTAAGAAAATTGGAGATATTATGTAGGTTTCCATGATTATTGAATATCAGTCTAGCTATTGTATACCTGATGACTCTCTTTACTCTGACTTCCTGTGTCTTCCACCACTAGGGAACCAAACTGCTTTAAAATCTCGAATCCTCCTGGAATGGAGAGTTAAGAGGGAAGGCCTCTTTTGGGAACCACTTCTGGTATGCATTACAATAGGTGGCTTTGCACAATGAACATTAATTTTTTTAATGGATGTTAGTGTTTAGTGTTTCTTGTAATGATATATTTTATTTTATTTCAACTCGAATGCTGATGTAAGCTGATGATGCATTTGTAGTCTGAAATCATTTTATATATGTTTTTTATCTAGAGGAGTAATGTCTTTTTCATAGCAGTACAGCAGTAATGAGATAGCAGGTGTTTGCAAAATCTTTTTAGGGATTTATCTATTACAGGGAATAGTGAGACATGAATGATGTTAGTCACTCAGACAGTTGGTTGGTTTCTTTGATTCAATTTTTTGTTCTGTTTACTTGTATATTTATTCTCTTTCATTTCTTTGTTTATAATCATTATTAAGATTTGATTTTCACTTCGAGATTAATATATATTTTACTTTTTTCCTTTGTTTCTTCATAATTGTTATGGTTCCATATTTCTTTTCCTATATGTCTTTTTATATGTATGGTTTATACAGGTGCCTTCAGATGTATAATTTTTTTTTTTTTTTATATATCTAAGAAAATTATAATCATAATAATAGGGATCATGGTACGTAAATGTTAGCTCATCATTTTGGCTTGATCAGTAAAAGCAATTTGAGCTGTAGTTGAAATTATTGAAAATTTAAATATTTCTGTAGAGACTAGAAAAATCCATGTGTTAGATTTTAAAGAGGTGACATATTTTGTTTTTGTGCAAATTGATTTTGGTGGTACAAGTAAATTCAGTTGAGTATTTATTGCAAGTACTGTTCTGTGAACCTATTTATGTATTGTTTTTTTTCTGCCATTACAAGAGCAAGATAGAGTATTCTGTCATTTGTCAGTATAGTCATTTAAGTTTCAAGTAGGTATAGCAAATTTTTCCTATGTGTTTGAGTAAGAACAGAAGAGAATGGAGGATGCAATGAAACTGTTTATATGTCCATAGGGATGAATTAAGGGTAATTAAGGATGACTGAATCTGTTTGTGAATGTTTTGAGAGCATGATCTGGGGTTGTGTGCATTAGATTATGCCCATCTTTATATATTTGCATCATATATGTATGTATTAACTCCTTTATAGTGTGTAGTTCTTTATTTATTATGCTTATTTTTGTATTGTCCTTCCTGCAGGTATGTCTAAATCAATTGGTGTTGGCTGCAATGGTTAAAGCTTTGTATAATGTCTCCTAATGCTTTCTGCATCTGCAGTTGTCTCACAGTATACATTTAGTCAGAATATTTGGTAGGAAAAACAGCAGATAGTGTTTGTAAGTTGTAATATTATTCTTGGAAATAACATTATTTGAGGTATGCTAATTATATCCTTTTCTTTATAATTTTTTCTCCTTTTTTCCATCTTTTTTATGATTTTTCTCTTTATTTTTCTCATTATTCTTGTGTAAATGCATTACAGTTTTGATATTTCATCCCAAGATTATTTGTTTGAGTATACGGTGAAGATTTTGCAAACCATGCTATTTTAAATCCTGTACATATTTTTCTTATATTTGACAGCATTTACCATTACTGTCTGGCTTGGAATTATAGTATAGAAATAGAACGTTTATTCCTCGTGCATGTTTTCACACTGCTATGTCAGTCCCTATTGTTGCAGTGTATTGACAGTTTGGACAACATTTTACAGACAAATTAAGTTGAAACTTGTAGGTGTAATAATCTAGCCTAGGTTCAGTATTTATCTTTCTGAAAATTTACATTAAGACTAACTAGGTAACATGGACCCCCAATCTATAGTCTAGTGGAAATATATTTGACATTCATTAGGGAATTATTCCCTTAATATGTATGCAGTTACATACCAGTATGTCTCATTTTTGTAGGGTATAGATTTTAAAGAATAGAAATATGTTTGTTAAAGCCTTTAGATTTTTTTCCCATGTTATATCATATACCTTTATGTGATAGTAATTCAGAAATTCTGTATTTAGCTGAAAGATGACTGAACAGATTCCTGGTTCTTTCCTTTGAATGTTTACCACCATTAACTTACCCCTTGAACAGCAACAACTTTATTGTAGTTGTATGCATTGCCTTAACTTTGTATATATGCCATTGATAATAGGTGTTTACTCTATATATACATATGAAAGTTTATTGATTATCTATCAGAATTTCACATATTTTTGGGATTTTTGATACTATGACTTTTTATATTATACAATAGCCTCGGCATTAGAATTCTCATTTAAAAACAGGATTGTCTTAAACAATAACAATTAACCCAATGGCGCCGGGTGTACAAAAAAAAAAAAAACTCTACGCTTAAACAAACAAAGGCAGCGCGCCGACTTTGAGCGTGTGAGTAGGGGACATCAGCCCGAATCACTGGCTCGCCGCGCTTTGGCGCGCCGCCGGCTCGTTTGGCTGCATGCCAGCTTTCAAGCGCTTTGTTTACACGCCGATTGGCGTCACCTGGCACGAAGGGGTTAAAAGATTTTGTGGTCATAGAAGACATCTTAGGTAAATTGAAACTATCATACAGACAATATACATGTTGGAAATTGATGGAAAATATACATATGTGAGGCTTATGTCCATGATGTTCTTTATGTTAATAGTTCCAGAGCCCCACAGTGTTTGCCTAATCCAGATCACTGCAGACCTGACATCAAGAATTTTCTTCTTAAGTATCTTTGCTGTGGCTGTCTCACCGTCTTGGATCCTTAGAATACTAATTTATCTGCTAATAAGTCCTCCACCTTTAATCAATAAAGGTGAAACCCTGAGTGAATGTTCATAATCATAGGCCAGACAGGCAGTACTATGAAGTCAATTTAGGAGGAGTCAGATGGAAATTCATTATAATATTGTTTGACATTCATGAAGTACAATAAATCCTTGATATTTAAATTTGTAGATAGGTCTAGGAGAGTATAATAATCTAAGTAAACCAGAGCACATTAGAGCATGAGCGAGAACAAAACTATGAGACTGAAAGTATGAAAACGCAATATTGAGAGAGAACAAGTGAGAGAAAGAGAGAGATAGAAAACAAGAAAGAACAAATATGAGCATGAAAAAGAGATAGAGAGAGAGAAAGAAAGAGAAAGAGAGAGAGTTGGAGAGAATGAACAATAGTGAGAAAGAGAGAGAGTGCATGAATTGGCAAGAGTGATTATATGCCGTCTGAATTACTGTCAGTCTTGCTGTGTTGGGCCAGAAAATAGGTGAAAATGTCCATGGGACAGAACCAGGAGTGTGATATTAGTTTCTGCAGTAGTAGTATTTTCTTCCTTTCTTCCTTCCTTCCTTCCTTCCTTCCTTCCTTCCTTCCTTCCTTCCTTTTTATTTGTTTCACATATGTATTATCTATTTATTCATCCTTTTCTCCATCACATAGATAATGGTAAAGCTGTATCAGTGTTTACTATTAACTCTAGCCTTCTCTTTCATCCCAGGAAACAAAATAAAAAATATATGTTGTGATCTTCAAACAAGTGAGCAGTGGGTTTGTTCATAATGCTTTATTTTTTTGCAACTGTTTTTCGTATTTTTTAGCATTTTTTGTTTGGCCATGTAGTTTGATTCCCAAGGTATTTAATAACACACTAAAGCAAATGCATGCTGAGATATATTCCTCATTGATGGTATTCTGTAGATACATTGCCAGTTAGTACTGTAGCTATATCTGTGCTAAGCATGCAGTTGAACATTGTCATCAAAGATAACAAAAGTGGAGTGAGAAGTTCATTTAAGAAGTAAAATAGGATATAAAGACTTCTTTAAGGTGAAACTATTCCTTCCCTTGATTTTTTCTGCATAACCAAAGAAGTTTTCCTCTCCTGGAATATCTTTGTCTTCAGGCTATTTACTTTGTCTAAAAAACAGTGAGGCTGATCTCAATGTGTTATTTGGTAGCACCGTATGTTTAACACTGCATGGCAATAGACAAATGCAAGGTCCTATTATGTTGGTCACTGTTTCCCTAATACTGACCTTATCTTTCAGTGGCAAAGATGCAGTCATTTTTTGTTGTTTTTGTTAGGCTGACTTAGCTCCTGGTACATAGGAGTTATCAACATTTAGGAGCATGCCTTTCAGTGTTAGGCCCACCAGAGTTATAGAGTATGGCTTATGAAATTCATTACAGATTGTTGTCTTCACAAAATGCTAATATTAAATATTTCACTCACTTCTTTAATATTTTTCTTGTTATAAATATGAAGTACAGTGTGGTTCATTATATGCCTTGCTTTTTGCTTTATTTATTTGTAAAGAACAGACTTCTTTTCAATAATGCTAGGACAAAGTAGTTGTAGATTAGGATGTGAATATTTCATGTTAGAACTCACCTTTTTCATCTTTTCTTGAAATTTATCTGTTTGGTATTTCCTCAACTTTTTAGAGAAAACCTGGTGTTATTCTTAAACATGTTATAATTATCAGTATTCATCGAAGTGATTTTATATGTTAATAAAAGTTGTTGATTAGGCTTTAGTGTTTTAGATTGTTTGTTCAACTTGCTCTAATATTATTACAATCCACTCTGTTTAACAATAGGTGAAATTTAAGTAGCTATTAATTGTTAAAGGAAGGAATATAATCTTTAAAGAATAACTGAAGCATGTTATCATCACTGGAGCATTTGTTATCCTGTGTGTTTGTAAGGTTTTTGTTGATTGATGATCTGATGTTTTCCATACTGTCAGGTCTGATTTTCATATTGGTCATTTTGTTTTCAAGGTCTTTTAAATCAAAGCTCTAAGTCATCGACCTACTTTTGGTAAGTGGGGATCCTGAACATTCTTCTTTTTTCATGTTATGGGATATACTGCATTAAGATGTCTAGAAGAAGTTTAATGTTACTAATACCAAGATAATACCAATAATTCTTGTACTCGTCACCCAAATAAGGATTGGAATTAGCACTGATGTTGCTATTTGAGTAAATTGAGGTACAAGGCATTTTAATGCAAACTTTACGCATTTTGCTTTATGTCCATTACTCTTGCAAGATAAGTAGCTTTGTTTCAAATGCTGTATTTCTAGAATTGTTTTATTGAATGTACATTATGCTTATTACAATGCAATTTATGGCACAATTATATGTCTTTGTAAGTGCTCTATGTATACTATTTTCGTAAATATTAGCTATGTAATTTTTTTGTCATTATGAAAGTTTTGTTTTATATTTGCATTGTTTTATTTATATGGTTTCATGGTTTATGTACTGGCAAATGGATTTGGGTTAAGCATAGTCTGTATAAAGATATGTTAATATTTTTGACTGAAACAAGAATTACTTAGTTTAGTGTGGCATGTATTACATAGCAACTTTAAGATTTCTCCTTTGTTGGTATGTCTGATATAAAATTTTTATTTGTAGCACATATTGTATTAGACTTTAAAGATTATAAACTCTAACAGTAGATAACTTCTCTAGTTAGAATAAATATTCCACATGCTTTCACCATTTCTCTCATCTTTAACTGTATAATTCTTGAATATTCCCCATATATGATACTATCGTTTAGTTACTTAGTAATAGTATGAGTACAGTGCATAGTTGATATAACTCATAATTGATATCCTTAATGCATGGCTGCAGTAAAGCAGTTATGAATTATTTTAGTTGTGGTGGAGAACCCAGAACCCTCATCATAGGTATCACTGAGATCCTTCAGATATGTTGATTTTTGGAAATGGAAAGAAAAAAAGAAAAGTGAAATGGATATATTAAGGTTTGTATATCAGGAAACTGTTTGGTTTCGAAAGTGGTCCACTGCTCCATGAGACAAAGCAAGGTTATTTCATGTGACAGCAAGTTTTTCAGTTGAAGAGCCCTATTTATTTTGGCAGGGAACATGCTAAATGTAGAAGTTTTCTAGAGTTGCATATTTTCTTGTGAGATACACATTTTGCTTGGTTTGTCTTTGTTACTTTTAATAGTTTGATATTGACTCATATCAGATCAATTTTTTTGTGGATATCTGTTATTTATAGCTTTTTGCTTAGGGTTGGTCATGTGTTTCATTGTTACTATTACAAATCACCTCTTATGCATATTGTTATTCTTGTAAATAATTTTTTCCTTAGGAAAACCAACAACAGTTTGTTATAATTGTTGAATAGAAGTTTAAAACCTATGACTCCCAAGAAGCATGAAAGATCAAGAAAGCCTTTAAAAACCTGTATACCTCACACACAAGGAATTCTGTAGTGCACATTGTAGAATAGTAAATTGCAAACATAGTTGAGACCTTGGCAAGTACGTAGATTTTAAGAGCAGTTTGAAATATTTTTTTTATAATTGGAGGATGATGGTTGGTGAGAAATTAATGTAGACAAGACTGATGAAAGTCAAATAGACAAAAAAGAGATTGGAAGGCTTATGAAATACAAGCATGCATCCAGAGTTACAAAATCATTTTAAATGAACATGTTTTCAGTACTTATTGCATGTAAATGTGATGTTTTTGTGTGTGAATCAAAGTGTTGTCTTTTTATGTTAGATAGAACTGTCTTTCTTCAGTGTTTAGATCTAGTGTTATTGTATATTTGCCTGGGCTTTAGAGTAGATGTTACCATTTTCTACAACTATATGAGGCCTTTCTTAGAATGCACTGTGAATTGACTGATGTTAACCCCTTGGATCCGGATACTTCATAGCCTGTATGTAGCCCAAAATACAGGTATTAGGCTTATTTGAGCTGCTATTGTGCCTTTTTTTTTTCTTTTTTGCCATTTTGCAATATCTGTATTTGTCATTTGATTTGCTTTATCCAGATGGTAATAGACTATTATCCTTACACAGACTCCATATCATCTCCGTAGGTAGTCCATAATAATAATAATTAACAATTTATCCCCCTCCCCTCCATAATATTCAATTTTCTGTAATACAACCTGCACTGCCAGTCACAGCAGGCAGAAATAGGATCCTGAGCATGGAAATCTCATCCTCCCTGGAGGTGGCACTCTTCCAGCCAATCCACACTTGTGTATTAATGGAAGTAATCCAAAAGCTACTTCCTAAATGCCCACTGAGTCTAATGACCCTCTGAGAGCTCTGTGTACTCATGGCGAGTAATTCCCTTCACCTCAGCCTAATTTTCCCATAATGGCATGTTCGCGTCACCTGCCTCACAAGCCAGTTTTTTTCATGACGTGATTGGCATGTCATCCGGATCATAGGGTTTAATAAAAGATTAGATTATGCAGTAAATAGATCATACAAAATATTTTCATTCATGTGAAAATAATCATGAATTTGATATATTTTTTCCATGCATAAATATTTGCTTATAGCTTTATTTCTTGTATGTTACAGCCAAAACTGTAGGACAAGATATAATGGTTGTAGACATAGAAACATTTATAATTACAATATGTATGTTGGGAAGTTAGCTCTACCTTATCTCTCTCGTATGAGTAATACATGCTGGCTTTCCTTACAGGTGTACATTCGACAAGGAACACACCACTGTCACAGGCAACCACGACTGATGAAGACAAGACTGAGCATAGGCAGTGTCATCCATCCCAGTTCTGCTATATTACATCACCAGTCTTCCTGAAAACTTGAAGCACATTCTTGAAGTGGAAAATTTTGAATTATATATATATATATATATATATATATATATATATATATATATATATATATATATATATATATATATATATATATATGTATATATAATATATAATGTTTTTTTTTTTTCTTTCTTTCTTTTTTTTTCTTTATTTTTGCCATGATAGCAAATGCTAACTTAAAGATAGGATGCAAACCATTTGCTGTAGAGTGTGAGCACTTTTTTATATATTGCAAAAATATAGATGAAAATTTATCTTTTCGTGAAAAAAATTGTTGTTTTATGCAGTATTGATTGATCCAGTGCACCGTCTTTAGTATTTTGACTTGAAGTATTCTGGTTATGTTTAGATATATGACCTTGAAATACAAAAATGTGAGAACTTTTGGGGATGTGTTGAATGGCACTAACTATTATGTCTGGTACTGAATTGTGTTCAAATGAGTTTTTGAAATATTAGATGAGTTAGTCTTTATTGTATAAGAGATCTTCATACAATTTTGTTATTTGTAGAACTAGTTCTGAAAACCATTAATTACAGGAAAATATTCCTTTCTAGATGCACTGAATACTCAGTTACCATTATTACATAGTTACCATATACTTATGCTCAACTATTTTTAGTAATTCCTGTTCAAACCCACCCTTTTGGTGCTACAAACCTCTTTTTGATTCTTCAAAAAATAAATAAATGAAAATGAGTTACCAATAAAACTTAATTGAAGAGCTGAAATACCCCATTTCTGTGCAGAGATTAAGTTAATAGACCTGCTTAAATACATGGATGCAATGTCAGTGCCATGCTAGCTTCATGGCAAGATAATTTCCCTTTGGTCTCCTGATCATGTTTTGAGCAGCTTGATCCATGAGTAGCAAGTGTAGAGCAGAAGAAAGCTAGCACTTTATGAATCTTTCTTGTTTGTTTGCAGTATATAAATATAGGCTTTTTATCATCTGGCAAGTTACTGGACTGAAATAGAAATATAAAAGTTTTGGATTGCCGTTGTTAGTAACGATTGCAGCTTTGGTTCTGTACATAAATAGTCACATCATGATTTCGGAAGTCTACCTATTGTTGTGCCATTAATAACTATATTTTGAAATTAGACTGTATGAGGTGAATATCATACGATTTCCATGAGTGAAATGAAACCTGGTCTGAATGCATAATAGTTATATATATCTGGTTTCGTTTCCGTACATATGTTTTTTTTTTTTTTTTTTTTTTTTTTTTTTTTTTTTTTTTTTTTTTCTCTTTTTTTCTTTTGGTGTAAATCAAGGGTTGTGCAATTTCTAAATTTATGGTACCTTTGTTTGTGTTCTTCAGTTTATATTGAAAATTGTTGAGCATTTTTCTCAGTTACATTATGGTGGATTACCTTAGTTTATGAAGACACAAGTATGTAAAAGAAATAGATGTAATGTATGCAGTTGGAGATTAATATCTTAACATAAATTAACTATATAAACAGTGTTAGAAATTGATCCTATAGAAAAAGTTAAAATTAAGAGAAATATTTTTATCAGTTGTTTTTACAACTACATTTGTGTAATGTAAGTGGTGCACTATTCTAAAATACAAAAAAATTACTGGAATGGAGAAAGTTGATAAATAAATGGTGAATTGATAATTACTGTTTCAATAGCATATTAAGACAAAATTATGTTTCCTCCATAATATTCTTTACCCCTGTTTCTGGCAGTGAATCTATAAACTGTCAGGCAAACATACCCCTCATCCTCCATATCTGAAATACCCTCATCTTTGATCCTTTTCAAGAGCTACTTAACCCATTGCCGCTGGGGATGGCATGTATGTACATGCCATGCCCACTTTGAGTCGACTTGTTCGATTGTTTTTACACATAGATGGCTACACTTGTACTAAGTGTCCAATGAGCCAATTACGAGAACAGCATGTCTCGCCCGTTCACCCTTTTCATTGAATTACAAAAATATTTAACGTTATCCTAATTTGCTGTTAAAAATAACACCATCTATATTTATAGCACTAGTAAAAATACGTTTTTTCCCGTCAATTCAAGGAAAGGTGAAATCAGGACTAGCAGAGCCATCTATGGACAGACATATTTCACAAAAATATAAAAAATGAGTGCTACATTTCCCCCATTTTTTGTTCATTTTCCCCCGGCGGCAATGGGTTAATTATCTATTTCACTCAGATCAATAGCAGCTCACCTTTTTCCTGACTTCGATAAGTCAGCCAGTGAGTGCACTCCCATCTCCTTCTTTATATCCTTTACAGAATCTTATAATTCCTCTTTTTCTTCTTCTGAAATCCATTATGCTTTAGTCATGCCACAACACCCACAGAGGCCTTGACAGTATACATTACTGTATCTTACAACACCATCCACCTACCTCTTATCCTTCCTACTAGCAATATTCAACAAAATTTGGGCATGAAGCCCTTGTATTACCTTTCCTAAAACACAAAAAATGTAGTACCTGTCCTCAAGATTACCATCCCATTGCTCTTACAAGCTACTTATGCAAACATCTGGAAGGATAGCTAACATCCACTTTGTGTTACCAGAAGTTCCAGCTCTATCTATCATAATCAATAAATAAAATAAATACCTTGGACCTCAGCCCTTGCCTCAATTAATTTTGCATGGTCTATCTTCTATCCCTTTCCTTTTCCTTCTCTTCTTCATCCCCTTCTTCTGTCCACTTATTCTAATCACTAACTCATTTTTACCCTTACTGCCACAATATCTTATCATAGTGCTATATGACCTTTGATGTCTAGCACTTTTATTTGTTTTAACCATTAATCATTAACTCTCCTCCATCTCCATAATACCCTGATCCTCTTCACTCTTGCTTATAGCTGTCATATATATTCTTCTGCTCCCACCTTCCTTCTCACTCAACTTGATTCAGTCCACCACTGCAGTCCTTGATTAGCCCTAGATGCTTTCTGATCCTCTCCAGTTGAGAGTCTGTAAACTGAATCAGGACTACCATCTCTTTCTCAATGTCATGCCCTTCTCTCTCTAAGGAGCTATGCTCACTTTCACCAATTTTCTCTACAAATTAACTGTCCTTCAATCCTTCCCAGCTTTTTCTCCTTTCCATGTTTACCTACTACTTTCCCTGTTTGTATGGATACTCTACTTTTCCATGCATCCTTTTCTCATCTCCAAACCCTTTTCTCTTTCTGCCCATTCTTTGTCTCCCTGGGTAATACCTTCCTCCTGCAATTGCTCTTCTATTTTCCCCATTCCACCCAAACCAAACATTCCACCTTCTGTCCTTTTCACCCATTTCCTTGCACATATCACAACTCACTCCTCCAGTACCAATGTCTATACAGATGACTTAATCCATCTTGGTTACAGGTTTCCCTGTATTCTTACCTTCTCATACTTATGACTTTTCCCTTCCTCCTGAAAGAAGCATCCTTGCAACCGAACTAAATGCCATCCTCTTCACTTTACAACACTCAACTTCCATCCCTTCATCATTCTTCACCATCTTCACCAATTCATACAACTCAATATCACTCATACAGTCTATACTTTCAATCAACCCCCTTGTTTGTAAAATCTAAGATCATTTATTTTAGCTATCTACACAAAAGAAATCAGTCAGGTTTTGCCGAATACCCAGCCATATTGAGATTCCTGGCAATGAGCAAGCCGATACCTTGGCACACTCTGCCACCTTATCCACAACCCACTAAGCCCATTTTTCACAAATTCCAGCCACTGATTACTACTCCCACTTTAAAACTTTCCTCTATAAGCACTGGTACTTGTGCTGGTCAAGTCTGACCACTAATAGATTACACACTAAAAAGAAGAGGCACTGGGAAACCACTCTTGCTTGTTAAAAAATAGGTCGTACTTGCCTCATGTATTCATATCTCATGTCACAATCCAACCCATCTCTATGTTCTTCATTCAATGTTCCTCTTTCAGTTCCATACATCCTGCTATCCTGCCCCCACTTTACTGTAGCCTGTACCCCTGCTATTCATCACTTGTCCTCTCTTCCCCAACTCATTAACCTGCTGGACACCCTCACAGAATCCCCCATTTTTTTCATTTGACAATTTGGTCTTATTCCTCAGATGCATAGATATGTTCTCTTTGATCTAATCATCCACTGTCCTTAACCATTCCCCCTTCTACTAATTCCTACCCTAATCCATTTACTCTCACTCTTTTTACCCTATTCACTTCCATACTACCTTAGAATGCTGTATGGCCAATGAAATTAACAGTTTGTTCTAATTATGAACTCATTAATACCCTTTTGCCACATGACTTTACTATTGTGCTACATGACCTTTGATGTCTAGTACATTTATTTGTTTAAGCCATTAACCAAACAAACCATTAGCATAGCAAGGTGAAAAGTAGTATCTAGTATGAAATTATTTCAAATGGGTTTAAAATCTACAGAAACTTGAAAAAGACAAAAGAAATATATTTAGACATAATTTGCAGATATTCAGTAATAAGTAAGGAAGCAATATTAAGTATACAAAGGGTTATCAAGGGATGATGCTGAGGGAACAAAATAAAATTAAGGATACATGGGAAAATTACTAAGAAAGTTTAGTAAACAAATAATATACAAGATTGGTAGCTAGAAATAGTATTCCAACTAAACAAATAGCACTGGAAGGAATAAAGTGAAGGTGCCAATAGAAAGCAATACATTAGAAGTTTGAAAAAGCTTGGGGAAAAAAATAGGCATTTGTGACTTAAAGTTGATTTGAGAATGAGAAAATTCCCCACTATTGGAAGAATTCTGTAATGATACCTAATTACACTGTACTCATCTGTATATTCATTCCCATAACTTTTACGAAAAAAATATTTCGTTTATTATCATCATTTACAGTGTTACCATTATTGTAACATTATTAACAATATTTTTGGAAATAATGTGGGATGAATATTTAACCCACTCACGCTGGATGTCACGTATACGTGACATGCCCACTGTGAGTTTATTTGTTTAATAGTTTT